TTCTGCAAAATTATTTTGGCTCTGTGTTCCACCTTATCTTACTTGTGATTTTAAAGTCAGCTTGTCTTCTTTCTTGGACATCTTTGTTGGCATTTTATTAAAATTTCATTGAATTTATAGATTAATTTAGAGAAAACTGACATCTTTGCTACATCCATGAACATGATTTATTGCTCCATTTGCTTATCTTTTATTTAATTACTTTCAAAAAAATTGTTTTATTCTCAAAATTCGCACACATCTTTTTCTCTAGATATCTTGTATTTTGCTACTTTAATATTTTCAATATTACATTTCAATTTATCATTGCTGGTGTATAGGAAAACAACCGTTTTCTGTAAATTGATCTCACTTCCAGGAACTTTACTAAAATTTCTCCTATTATGTTCAAGAATTGACTAGAGAGTATTTGGATTTTCTACTATAGGTAATCATATTTTTTAGAAATAATGATTGTTTTGTCACTTCCCTTCTGATTCTTATAATCAGAATTATATAGTGCCACAGTAAATAGAAGTAGACATAGTGGCATTCTTGCCTCACTCCAGACTTTATGCTTCTAATGTTTCACCATTACATATAAATGCTCTTTATATATATATATATATCTCCTCCTAATAAGTTTAAGGAAGCTCCTCAAAATTCCTAGTTTTCAAAAAAATTTTTTTTCATGAATGAGTACTGAATTTCATGAGATGCTTTTAGTGATCACATGACTTTTTTCTGCTTTAGTCTTTTACTGTGAGGAATTACATTTTGAATATTAAGCCATCCTTGCATTCCTGGGATAAATTCAACTTAGTTATTATGAATTTTATAAAATGAGGATAACAATAGTTTCTCCCTCATAAGATGTTGGGAGAGTTATATGAGTTGAAAAACTAGTACCTGGTACAGAGTTAGCACTCAGAAAATGTTAACTATTGTTTTCTTTAAGCATTTCTAGAGTCATTTTGCTAAAATTTTTATTTGTGATTTGTGCCTCTATGTTCATAATTAAGATGGGCCTATGTTTTCTTTTCTTATATTGTCCTTGCCTGGTGTTGATATCATGGCTGTATTAGCCTTGTAAGATTAGTTGGAGAATGTACTTCTTTTTTAATTATCTGAAAAAGTTTAGATAAGATTGTAATTATTCCTTGTACATTTGTTCTAATTTGCCTGTAAAATGATGTAAGGCAGTTTTTGTTTTGTTTTTGGTAGGTTGATTTTAAAATACTATTTGATGTAGGGATAGTCAGGTTTTCTAACCCCTTTGCTCTCAAGTTCAAATCAAGGGGATACTCTGCTCAGGTGTTTAATCCTTTCTCCAAATGGAAGACCCTTTCACAATTTCCTTCTCACTGGGAGAGTTCAGAGAATACAAAGCAGACAAATGGAGTCTAACCAATTTGAATAAAATGAATTTGTATTTACATTTAATGTAAAAGTAAATGTTCATATCTAATCATTAATAATGAGAAGTAGCAAAAAATTGGCTTGGAACTACTGAACTTCAGGGATAGATACATAAGCTCATTTGACAAAGTCTCTCATGATTGATTTAGAAGCATAAATGAGGCATTTGGTTTGGAATCAGGGACAGACATGTATAACACAAATGAAAAAATATGATCAATGGAATAATACCAACCAAGTGTAAGGGGTGGTCACCACTGGTACACCACAAGGCTTGCCTGGCCCCATGTGGTCTACTTTTTCATTAGTGTTTTAAAATGAAGTTAGAGTGATTCTCTTCCTAAAATTTACAGATGACAAGAACCTTGGAAGAACTGCTGATACATTGAGATGGAGCATCATTATCCAGCAAGATCTGGGCATGCCAAAGTAATGGGCTGAATCTCTTAAGAAGAAATTGTGAAGAGATAAAAGTAAATACTTACATAAGGCTGCTTTTTGGTATCCACTCTTCATTTACATCAATGTTGGCAACAGCCCTGGGTTTCTTTTGGGGATCTACTCCCCATCCATGTGGTTCTGCTGCAATTGACTCCCATCTTTGGCTTTGAGGGTAGCTCATGCCACAAGCCTGGCCAACTGAGGTACTGTATCCTCTGGCAACAATCATGGATTGGTTTAGAAATGGGCATGTGGCCCGTGTCATGTCAAACAGAGACGAGACTGGATATGGAGCTCCTTTTGCTCAACTGGTCTTCATGGTGATGTGAGCTGGAAGCTGCAGAGGCCCATAACATGGAACAGGAAAGTGAAACCAATCTACAGGAAGCAGAGGTGAGTAATTTGTTGGGATCACCATTGAGCCCTGAATCAAGCTCTGTGGGAAGTCTGATATTCTCATATACTTTTCAGTCACGTGTTCCAACGAGGTGTTCTTCCTCCGCCGCCTCTTCTTTTTCTCGTTATTGTTCTTCTTCTCCTCCTCCTCCTTCTTATCTTCCATTTCCTTTCCTTTGTCATCATCATCATCAAGCCACTTATACCTGCAGTTTCTCTTACTTAAAATACTACTAATTGGTAAAATGGAATAATAATAGGACTTGTGTTATGGAATTTTGTGAGGATTAAATGACATAATTGGGATAAAGTGCTTAACGCAGCATTTGGCATAAAGAGAGCATGAAAAAAATTGTAGTCATTGTAGTTATTATAATTATTATTGTTATCATTGAATGGATGACCATTTAGTGAGGATTCAAGTGTTGCCTGGGTAACTGAGCTAAATCATGTTTAATATCCCAATTTAATGTCCCAATAAGATTCTACAATTTTATAATTCTAGGCTTGTAAAAACTTAGATGAAATCAAATAACTGAACTACTTTAGCATATCTATAGTAGTAGAAAATGGGAGAATGGCAATTAGGATAATATAAGTCAAGGAGGAAGATCTAAAGAGGAGAAAACTGTAGGTAAAGAAAAAGGAATCCCAGTGATGCCTCCTAAGGCTGTCTGGCAGAGGATATATGTCAAAGATTTGCAGAGCAGGAAACTTACTAATTGGAGACAGCAAGATCCTTTCTGCTTTGCAGCTCTAAGTTTGATGGACTCATGTAGGTGATTGTGGAGTTTTACAGACACATCAGTCCTAAAAATCTAAACCCTGAAATATGTAGCCCCAAACTTTTATAGGTCAAATTATCATTTATTTTATGGTAATTTTCATAGTGCCAGATCAAATAAACCAAATCGTTTGTTTATTTCAAATGCCTGCAGTGAATTCGGAAAGTCTATTTTGTGCTTCAAAAGATTTCTTTGTCACTGAGAGTGCATTTCCAAAAAAAAAAAACACGTGAGCTAAGTTCTTGGCAGCTGCAAAGAGACAATTCAATTTTTTTTTTCGTAAATCAGTTACTTGCAAGTCTAACTATCACAGTTTTAAAATGTGTGTTGTGTTTGTAATTCCTATAAAATCTGTTCCAAATATCTAGCCAAGGTGGTGAAAAAAGCATAATTGCTTTTCTGGACTTTTAGCAAATTTAATTGCACGAATAAAGTGAAATTAGAATTTAATCCTGTAGCCAAAGAAAATGAGAAATGAATGAAACTGACTGCTAATATCAATGACAAACCTTTAGAGGGGAGCACAGGTAGAGTGATGAACTTCCACTGTCGTGGCTGAGATTCAGACATTTCCTGGCATGTGGCAGACCACTGGGTGGCTGGTCAGATGTCCAGGGGGTGGTGGTGCTAAAAACTCCTTCTTGGGAGTGTCTGGTACAGTGAATAAAACCTTAGTCCTGGGTAGGCCATAGCCATTTTGAGAACTGGAGGACTAATTTGCCACTAGCCTGACTCTTAGGTGGTTAGTGGAGCCCAGGGAAGAGAGACTTTTAGATAAAGCAGAATGATGTGTTTTATTGCAAACTCAGTGACGCAGTTTTGCACTGGGAGCCAAGCAGCCCCGCTCTTGAGCCTCTCTACCGCAGTGTGACACCGAGGAGAAAGAAAGCTCTTCTCCCCATCCTGCCACAGGCTGCCACATGGGGTAGTGGACTGAGGACTGGTGGCTCTTGAAGGCTCAGGCGGAGCAGCACAAAGAGACAGAGGCTGCCATCCGTGGCAGAGCAGTGTGGAGAGGAGTCCATTCCTGGAACCTCCATGATGGCAGCCACAGAATTTGCCTGGCTCAGGGTGGTGGAGTGATCACACCGCAGCATGCCATGCCAGGAAGCGTGGAGAAAGTAGCAGCCTGGGCTTGTGGACGGATCTGGACGCCTCAGGAAGAGAGCACGTGCAGGACACCCACAGAGACTCTAAGAAATACTTGGTCTGGGAGCACAGAGCATTGATGCTCAACTTGACATGTCGGGTGGTGTCAGTAAAATGTAGGCTAAGATACTCATGGATCTCGTGCATTTTTATTAATGAGGGACATTTGGGTGCTTATCAAATAATATCATATATTGTTCTCTGATCCAAAATCCATAAAACATGGTTTCTGATAGATCTAAAACAAGAGGAAAAAATACAAGACAGGGCAAATATTTTGAGCAGACTAACTTGCTCTTTCATTCAAATGTGCAATAATTAACAGAGGTGCCCCGACTTGATTTTTAATGGCAGTATTTAACACAACTATAAATCAGTCCCAAATCACATTCACATTTACGAAGTCTTTACAGGTTCTCTGCTGTATTTTACCTAACATGTTTCGCTTTTGGAACCCAAAGGAAGAAGCGGTTTTCCCTCTGCCACTGAGAGCGGAGGGCCGCACTCCCTGCGGTACAGACAGACGGCTCTCCACAATCAGTAGTTGGACAAGGTAACCAAGTGTGGGCAACACCAAACTGAGACGTGTAGAACTCGAAGGAAGCTTACAACCCGTCTAATGAGTCCAAATAACTTACCTGCCCAGTGAAGAAAGACTCAGCCAGCCAAGGTAACTTTACCCACGTTCATAAGTTGACTAACGGTAAAGCTGAGAATCTAACGTGCCTCTCAATAAACCAGGTCTCATTTCCCACAAACCATAACCGCTTCATGAAACTACTTTAAAATGGCTCCTAAAACTTGTCCCCCAGCTCAGCCTTTGCATCGTACCTTGGAGTATGCTCTTGACTATAACCTCTGTGTGATCGGCCAGGAGATCTGCCTTGGTAATTGCAACCAGAGACAGGTAGTTGGACATGTTCCTGCACAGCTCCTTGTTGCCTCTGTGGAGGAATTTCACTGCGATGGGGATGGCTAATGCCATCACAGGGGGCCGATTGTAATTCTGAGGAAATAGAAGAAAACAACAAACAATAAGTGGCTCATTACTCATTCATTTATTCATTTATCAAAAAAATATTTAGTAAGCTGAACTCCCACAGTGCAGCTGTAAAAACACAGACCCACCTACTTTCCTTGGTATTTGGCATCTCTGGGAACTCTCTGTCTTGTTAGAAGACTTGCAGGCAAACGGGCAGTTAAAAGCATAGGCTGGTGAGGGCCATGATGGCAAAGTGCAGGGTGCTAAGGGAGCAAAGAAGGAACGCCTAATCCAGTCTTGGGGCTGTCCAGAGAGACTTCCTGGAGGAGGTGATGTCTTAGCTGAGACACAGCAGATGAACAGGAGATGGCTGCGTGATGGCAAGGCAAGGGGCAGACAGAAGGAAAAGCCCGTGTCAGTGGTGAGAGACAGCTTGTGCATCTGGGAGACTGCAAATAGTTCAGTAGCTGGAGTGTGGTACATGTCGGGAAAGGTGGAGAAGGGAGGTGAGAGAAGGGACTGGAGAGGTAAACAGGCGTATGACCGTGAGGGTCTGGCATGCCATGCTAAGGAGCTGGAATTGACCTTCAGGGTGATCAGGCAGGACTGATGAGAGGAATAGCTCGTCAGATTTATGCTTGAGAAAACAACCCCAGGACTGTAGAACAAGTTGCTTTCTGACTGTATCTTAAAAACTAAAGTTTCAGCAAATGAGATGCAGAAGAATCAAATGAATGAACTTCAGACTAAAAACTAAAGGAATTCTGGATCCTAAAATAATTCTCTTTTTGATTTATTTTGTGACTGAACATCAATATCTTACACAAAAAATAATGCAATTGGCTTTTACTTATCTAATTAGGGAATAATATTTGGAAAATACAAATTGTTTCCATAAAACTGAATGGTATGTCTTCACTATCATCAACCACTCTGATCATCAACCTCACTCCTGAGGGTACCTACAGAGCAAGGGTGGCACAGTGCACAATGTGTTTAGGGAGCTGACTTCATTTTATTAGAAATAAAAAGTGGTGGTTTTTCTCTAACTGTCCATGTGAAAAGTACTTATATCTTTCCACCCACAGATTATCCCTTTTAAGACCTCCTATAATTCTGGGTTTATGGGAAGTGTTCAATAAACATCTATCCAATTGAATAACCAGTGAAGAAAATGTAAATCTATTGTTATAACTGTCATTGGGAACATAATGTGGTGGGAAGGGGGAAGCAGATGGGGGCTCCACTTTCTCCCATCCATCTTACTTGCCTCACCCACTGCCAGCAACAGGCCGGGTGTGGGCCTGACGCTCCAGTGTCCTCCATTTTCAGGGCTAGTTTCTCGGGTAGGTGAGTTATTACGTACTCCTTAGCAGAGTCCAACGTCCAAGGCCATGATCCCAGGTACTTCTAAAGAAGGCATTTCCACCCTTGCCTTCAAGAGTAGTCAAATGACTTAGACATTGACCAATCAGAGAAGCACACCCCCCCCCCCCCAGTCCAAATGATAGGTTCAGGGATGGGCAAGTTATCCGATTATAATTAAGGAGGCATTAAAGAGCTCTGAAAGTGAGTCTTTCTCCTGCTGAATTCAAAGTATCGAGGGTGGAAGATCAAGAGTATCTGCTGCCATCTTTTGATCTCAGGGGGAGAGAATCTGCATGAGATTCAGTGCCACATGGATCTATCTGAGAGATAAGCTGAGAGAAACCAGGTCCTGGAGACACCATTTGAATCCCATGCATTAGGCTGTCCCTGAGGCCAGCTGCATCCCTAAACTTTTCTAAGTGAGCCAGTTAAGTCTCTCGTGCTTAAGCTTTTTTCCTCCCAGTCCCTAGAGAGAAAAACAGACCGTTTAAATCCTTAATCCATTCATGTAGTCAATCCATTTTCCAGACTTAAGGGTCGATCCGACTCCTGAGCAGAGAAAATCGGTACAGTCATGCACCTCAAAAATCTTTCAGTCAACTATGGACCGCTTATATGATGTGGTCCCGTAAGACTAGTACCATAAGCCCTAGGTGTGTAGTATGCTGTACCATGCTGGTTTGCATAAGGACACTCTGTGATGTTCACACAATGATGAAATTGCTTAACTACGTATTTCTCAGAACGTGTCCCTGTTGCTAAGTGACCTGATATCCTACCCTTAAGTCAGCCATGTTGAAAGCTCTGACCCTTCTCCCTGGTGACAAATCATGTGCTTATATAGCAGTTACACTCACTGGGTCTCTGTCCTATCCTTCTTAGAATTCTTAGGACCATCTAACTATCAGGACCATGGCCTGCAGCCAGACTTCTCTGATACCAGGCTTCACCTTTATCGAGAGTTGCTCACCTCTTGGTGAATTTAATTGGGGTGATTGGACTGGGTTATTACTGATATGATGAACCATGAGGCTCCCTGGGAGGCTGGCTTCTCCCCTCCCTTCAGCTTTAGAAGTCATGGCATGTGCTTGGTCAGCCATATAGAATTGTTTGGATCCACTGAGGCTAACTCCCACCAAGGGATTTCCAAAAGCCTGGTGTATAATCAGGCACGCCAATTTACTCATCCACCGTGAGGGTCTTCCCTAGGTCACACCTAGGGCACCCCTTTCACGTTATTAGGCTATCAGGAGCCAGTCCCTGGCATGGCTGGCGAGAGCCCTGGTTTTGAGAGTGGAACACAATCACGCAATTCTCAGAGCTTTCCGACAAAGAGCTTCATGCCCAATCTACTTTGTCTACTCTGAGTCGTTAGCCAAGAACAACTTGCAGCTAGAGAAGCACACATCTTCCGTTAGAGAAGTGCGTCTGCAAGGACATTTGACTGTAACTCGCTGAGAAAGCACAGGGGGTGGCATTGGGAAGTAACTTCCAGTGTTCCTGCTCATTGTGAGCACAGACAGGCACAGTGAGAGATCAGCGAGCATCAGTATTCCCAGAGACTGGTGGTTTTAAACCTTGAATGTGAGCTAACACTTGCCAGCAACAATTAAAGAATGGACTGTCTTAACCAATTTGATCTTATTATTCTTACAGTAATTCTAGATGTTCTAGAAAAAAGAGTGGACAGTCTTTGGAGTTAAAGACTTAACTTGAAAGACTAACTCCAAAGAGTTAAAGTTTTTGGACTGTGGCTCCAAGTGAAATGTATAAAATAAAAAAATATGTATAATGTCATTATTAAAAAAAAAACAAAAGGGGCCGGCCCGGTGGCGCAGCGGTTAAGTTTGCACGTTCCGCTTCTGGGCCCGGGGTTCGCCGGCCCGGATCCCAGGTGCGGACATGGCACTGCTAATTAAGCCATGCTGTGCAGGCGTCCTACACAAAAAATAGAGGAAGATGGGCACGGATGTTAGCTCAGGGCTGGTCTTCCTCAAAAAAACAAAACAAAATTTTAACACACTCAGTTTTTCTGTTTTGCTCCCACATATGTTATCTGGAAATCTCTCAAATGACAGGAGAAGCGAAACATTAAGCAAAGAGCAAATGGTTCGTATAAGCACCAAGGAGCGGCCACCAGAGGCTCTTAGTCGCCAAACAGTGTCTGGATGTTCCTGGTGCAGCAGGAAGCCATGGGCACCGCTGACAGCAGCAGGATGAGCAGGGGCTGGGAGGCCAAGGTGAGGCTGGACAGACACGGGTCACACAAACTTGACAGGGACCATGCCACCTCCTTCCAATGACTGAGCTTCGCTCTCAAGTGAAGCAAAAGGAGTTGCTAATGCTGTAGATCTCAGCCCCATGAAACTGTTTTATCTCTAGGATTGTTTGGATCACAGGGCTGCTGATGGTACACGTGCAGAGAAAGCCGTCTGATCCCTCGTACAAATTCACCACTCTAACGGCAGCGGCCACGCCAGAGCTTGTGACGATCTTGCCGCTCAGTGCAGACGCGAGCATGCTGGTATGCGTGTCATCTCACACACAATTCAGTGCTCAGGGCGCGAATTCAGTGAAGTACAGGGTGGAAATAAAGACTTGCTCACGGGGACAGTTATATCCAGCTGCAGAAGCCCAACAAGAGGGCTTTGTTCCATGGATGCCAAGAATTATATTTCTTAACTAGATTAGCACCAATTTGAGCTTTTGGTGGAGATTTGCCTTTTGAAAATGCACTTTGGGAAAGTTTCCCAGTGTTTTAAAACTGAAGAGAATAAAACTAAGTAAAAGAGATGCAAATCTGAGGTGACAGCAACTAAAGGCTCTTCGGCTCTCAGGCTTTGAATTCAACTAAGAGCCGTGAAAGTAATATCAAGAAATATTAAATGTTATTTATTAAAATAGGCATTCTATGATTTTTTATTCTGCATCGTCAATCAGATAATCTAATTTTGGATTTATGTATAAAATGCTTGGCTCTCAGCAGCATGGCTCTCTAGAAAATCGAAATGGCACCCACGCCTACGCTCTCCCAGTGTATTTTCTGACAGGGGACGAGTGGGTCTCAGGAACCTGGGGGCGTCCCAGTCTCCTCTCATTTCCTGCCACTGTCTGGTGTAGCATTAACTGAGCAATAAGTACCAGGTCCGCTCTAGGGAGAAGTGCGGCAGGTGCTGAAGCCAAAGGGCAGTCACGACGTCATTTGGTCGTCTGAGCCAATCATATGTTCGTTTGTTCATTCGTTCAATAAGTATTATTTCGAGCGCCTCCTTTGTGCCAGTCACTATTCTAGGTGCTGGGACTACATCAGTGAATAAAACAGGGCTTCTATTTTGGGGAGGGGGAGACAAGAAATGAACAATGGCTAAAATAAATAATGAAATAAATAGCGTGTTAGAAAGTGTTGAGTGCTACTTGAGAGTTTCTGCAGATGATGGTGATACCAACCCGAGTTAACACTCATGCAGCGTGTATCATGTCCTAAATATTTCACATCTGTTATTTAATATCTTTCATCTAATCCTCACAACAAACTGATGAGGCAGCTACTCGTATCATCTGCATTTTACAGATGAGGAAATTAAGACACAGAAACATTAATTTGCCCAAGATCACACTGCTAGTAAATGGTAGAGCTGGGATTGCCCATTGAATAAACTTCTAGATCAACATAACCAGTCCTGCCTCTAAGGGTTGTGAAGGAAGCGTTCTCAAAACTGTCCAAGGCACTTTGCATGCAATGCCAGCCAGGGACACACTTTGAATCTTCATACAGCATTAACTGGGGAAGAGGAGTGAAGAAAAATGAAGTGTGGAATCAGGGTGAAAGGACAGCGGGTCCTTCTATAAAGAAGGAAAAATAGGTGCTTTTTGATTTCCCAATAGTGGATTTGGGGATTATTTCTATTCTTCCCTTCTCCCCACAAACAACCCCCTTGGGCTCTCTCCCTCTTCATCAACAGAGTGAGCAGAGACGGGGGAAGAGAGTAAATACAGAGCTCGCCTGGCAAGGGCTCTGCTGAGCCATCTGGTTGGGGAAGAGGCAGTAAGTGCCGCAATTGGTAGAATGAGGACAAACCCATGCGCTGGCTGTCAATCTCATGATAGCCGGCCTGTCAAGTCTCGGGAATTTCATTCTGTCACATCAGCTATGTCAATGATTACAGCCTCCTTGAGGTGCATTTTTACTTTTTCAACCCTCTCCAGGTTTGGATTTATCCTAGAATGTAATGTGACTTGTGGGGGGTACCTTCCCTTTCAAGATTTTTCCAGAGGCAAAGAAATAGGCATTGGCCAACTCCATTTAGAAACCTGCTCAGAGGAAGCTGTAGTTTGAAATAGGTACTTCCAGATAGTGGCTAGACAACACATGGAGATTGCTTTTATAACAAAAGATGTTCTTCATGAGCAGCGAGTATTGTTACGCCAATTTTACAGATGGCAGAACAGAGGCTCAGAGAGAGAAAATAATTTGCCAATCTCTCATTTGTATAAGACCAAGAGCATCCGACCCCAAGGCCCTCAAGCTCGAAAGCTCTGCTCTCCTGTCTCTCAGCAACTCCTCAGGGAGCCAGGATTCCACACTGGCAGTGATCTGAGCGATTATCTGCTTCATCTTTTGTTTCATAGATGACAGGAGGTCTAAGGACACGGGCTGGGCTGGTAGAAGCATATCACCTAAGGCAAAAGAAACCAGAACTCACAGGTGCGTGCAACACACGTGTACTGATTTCATGCGGAGAAAAGCAGAGACAGTGAACTCTGGAATGTCAGAAGTTATTTTAAAGTAAATGTGGAAAGTTCATAAATTTAGGAAAAGAAAGAATTCAATATAATTACTAATTAAAAGTGGAATAGGAATGGTCATCTGAAGTGGGTTTGAGTGTAGGTTGAAAAAAGAAATTTTGGGGGAAAAAAAGACAGGTTTTTTTTTTTGTGTGTGTGTGTGTGAACACATTTAGCTTGAAATGACAGTGAAGTGGCCAGAAAAAAAGATCAAGTACAATGGCCAAGGATGCGGGAAGAAGACCTGTGGGCCCTTGCCTGATTAGATTAGCGCAATGCTGGGGCTGCTTATCTGGAAGGTGGAGTGGCTGGAGGGGGAATCACCCTCTCGTGTGTGTGTGTGTACAAGCTAAAAACACTAAGTGGTTGACTTTAAAGTTGATCTGCTGTTACTAGAAAATTTAAAATTACGTATGTGGCTCGTGTTTGCAGCTTTACCCTATTTCTCTTGGAGAGCGCAGCTGTGGAGTCCAGACCAGCGGTTTTGAAATCACAGTGGGAGTTGGAGAGTCTGGCTGATTTGGGAGTTTCTGTCTCAATGTCTGTGGAGTGGCACTTGGGAGGGAAATAATCTGTTTCTGATATATGTCAATAACATATTCAAATCCCCATTTCCTGCCCTCCCATCCCTGACCCTGGAGACAAAGGAGAAGCAGCATGATAGCGTGTGCTGAATCTTTTCACTCGACCGGTCGCTAGCTGGTTAGATAAAATGGAATATGCTCCTGTCAAGCACAGACAACTGTGAGACAGAAAAAGAAAGAAGCTGGAGAAAGGAACTAATATTAGCTGCCAGACAGTGCTCAACACTTAAAGATAACCAGAATTTCCTGAACTTTGCTCAGTGAAACCACAGTTCTGAGAGATGGTCATAAATGTTTTAGGGGTAAGGAGGGGAAAGGAAGTTCCATGGTCAAATCATATTGAACATGCTGTACCCAACAAAGTTAATCAGCTTTCTTCATTGCAGGACTTTTCAGAGCCTTTAACATGCTATGAAACACTATGACAGCTCAAAAGGGAAACATTGAATTCAATGTTTCCCCGCTTATCTGACCACTGAATTCTTTTTTTGAAAAATACCTGTTAACATCACCAATCTCTGCTGGTTCATAAAATTTATGATAGACAATATCATTTCATCTGCATTTTACAAGGAGGAAACTGTGGCTTAGCGAGTTAAGAGACTCACCCAACATTTCAATCTTATATAATTGGTTTGTGGCTGAGCCAAAACTCCAAATTTATGTTTATACCAGAGATAGAAATTTAAACATGGTCAGAACAGGTAAATATTATTATCATGCAAAATTCACAATACATATAGAAATACACTTAAAAATGACCTAGTCACTTCTCTCCACATAGTCCAAGCTCGTTGCCCCTCAGTTCACACTCCAGCCCCTCTTGGGTCTCCTGGGGTGAAAGAGGTCTCCTTTTCTGAATTTTCCAGTGTTCCTCATCTGGATCTTGGTGTACATTACTTCACTGTTAGCTTTCTTTATGTACATGTCTTATCTCTCCAAATAGACTAGAGCCTGCTCTGGTATTCCTTTGAATTCCCCATGGTGGGTCTTACATATGATAGGGGCTCGGCAGAACCTTGTCGAGCTTAGCTGTTGATGGTGTGTGGTGTCTTTTTACAGTACCTAAACGCTACAGAAACATTGGCTTTTGGTTCAGAGATACCACGTGTTCACCTAAGCTGCCAAACCAGCACCAGATCGCGGGATGCTGAACACTGACGTACCTGCAAAATGCAACTCATGATGTCAGAAGCAATTTTTGCATGAGGGGTGTCTTCGTCCTTCCCGGAGGGTCTCAGGTTGTGCTCTAAGCAGGAGTCCCAGAGCCCCACCAGGGCTTTGGCATGCCTTTCAATCGATTCTGTCTCTCTGATGGCTGTTGTGATTCGCGTGACACAGATCTCAACCACTGCCTGGTCATTGCTGTTGGTCTGGTAATCCTGTTTGAAAGAAAACCTTCATGTTAAACAACACTCTGGAAAGTTAGCCCTCAAAGGACCGACAGAATACAGACTTTTAGTTTCATGACTTTTAGTTTTTTTGCTGCTATTCACTGACACGCTAAGTTTTTAGATAGCCAAATCTGTCAATCTTTTGAGATTTCATTGCTTTTTCTTTTTTAAATTGGAAATTTGTCAAAATTATTTATTTTTTTAAAAAAGATAATACCTGGACATGGTACAAAAATACAAAAGACACACAGGAAGGGCTTGCAGTGAAAAGTTGGCTCCTCTCTCCTCAGCGCCCTGCCTGACAGGGGTGCTCCAAGCGCACGCAAGTAGCCATCTACACACGCTCCTTTCTTTCTGTGTGATGCCTTTAACGGCTTGTTTCTTAACTTCAAGGTTTCCTTATTCAAAGGTGTAGTAAAAATTCACCTGCATTTTTTCTAGATTTAAAAAAAACTTGACAAAACATTTAATATTTGGTACTTTAAAAATTAATCTTTTAACCACTCACTTAGCTCTAAATCTATCTGGTATTTATGCAAATAAGTAAAGGTACATTTTCTACTAAACAGCTAATCTAATTTTCACCCCCAATGCTTATGGAATAGCTCATTTCCTAGGAACTGTTTTATACACACCAGGTTCCATTTCAGGTCTGTCTTTTCTGTTTGCTTGTTCCATTTCTCAATTCTTTACAATATTAATTTGTCAGTATTTTCATATAAACTCCATGAACTTTTTTTTTTTAAAGATTGGCACCTGAGCTAACAACTGTTGACAATCTTGGTTTTTTTCTGCTTTATCTCCCCAAATGCCTCCGCTACATAGTTGTATATCTTAGTTGCAGGTCCTTCTAGTTGTGGCATGTGGGACGCCGCCTCAACGTGGCCTGAGGAGCGGTGCCGTGTCTGCACCCAGGATCCGAACAGGCAAAACCTTGGGCCCCAGCAGTGGAGCGAGCGAACTTAACCACTCGGCCACGGGGCCGGCCCCAAGCTCCATGAACTTTTAAAGGTGTTTCCTAGTGTATTTTCTCTCTGGTAGTGTTGTTAACAAAATTTCTTTTTCCTCATCACAACTTTTTCTTATTGCTGATTAAGTCAACTTATAGCATTTTTGTATTTATTTTGTATCCAGCTGTTTAGCTCAGCTCTTCTTAATTATGATAATTTTTCAGATCATTTTCTTGGGTTTTCTGGAAAGATTTCTGCATTGTATCTATACATTTTACATCTCTTTATCTATACATTTTTACATATCTTTACATGGCTTATTGTGTCGACTAGAATTTCCTAAGCTTTTCACATAAAAGTGATAAAAGCAAGAATGTTGATTTTTTTCTGGTTTTAGTTCCTGATTTTTGATATAAAATTCTGTGGTCCAAAGCAAAAAATACTATAAAGTATTAAATCATATAGGACACATCATTTTCTTCATAATTTGAAAGTTTCCATATTCATTTTAATTTTTTTAAATGCCCTCTTGGCACCAATGGAGATAACCAAGCATTTTTTTCTTAGCTGGCTTGTGGATGTGAAATGTTACCACACGGGATGAAATTTCCAGATGTTATCCATCCTCGCAGTCCTAGAATGAGCACCACTTGGTTTGGTGGATTGTTTTAGCGTATTTTCTTTATCTTCCTCCTTTGTTGATGAGTGTATTCTTTATTTCAGTGCAGCAGAATTTTTACTTGTGCCAGAATAAAATCCTGCTCTGCAGCAAGTAGATTCTTGTAGAACCAAACCATAGAGAAAAACCAGACTATAAAGTGCAAAAAATGATGCTGACTCTTCCAAAAGTCTCTGCAGCAATGAAAAGTTAAAACCATCCTTTGGGGAGAAAAATAACAGAGAACACTCTCGGGCTAAAATCACTATCTTTGGCCACAACTCTCCTTGTAAATAGCAGTTACTTTTAATGACATCATCTTCAAATATGAAGAAATATCATATTGGTTACTTTTACGTAATAAAGCGAATATACACAAAGGTAGATGGAACAGGGAACCAATGTCATTGACAGAAGGAAGCCTATATTCCAACTGTAAGTGCTAAGATGGTTAAGGTGATTGATCCATAAGATTTTTTTCTAAGATTTCTGGACTCCAAGGAAAGGAAGAAATGGTGCAGCACATTCCTTCTGGAACATTAATAGTACTGGTACATAGTTGACATTCAGTAATGGTTCATCGGTTTTAATTGAATAGACATTCCTCAAGGAAAGAAGTTTTCCTTCGCAATAATTTTCAAAATTATTTATTTGAAAAAATATATTTATGAATCTTAATTTAAAATTTAATTTAAAAAATGGGACATAGAATCTCCCTTCCCCCCTGCTTATTACTCTCCCACAAAGAGCCAAGCTATTACTTTCTTGTGTATCCTTCCAAAGATTGCTCATACACATTCAAGTAAGCGTATGTGCCTACCTATAGAAATACCTGATATACATACATACACAGACATAAACACACATACTCCGACCTACTTACTTTACACACAAATGGTAGCATAACAGACACAAAAATCTGCATCCTGCTTTTTCACTTCACACTGAATCATGAAGATCATTCCACTAACATATAAAGAGTTTTCCCCACTTCCTTTTATGGCAGAATAGTATTCCAATGTAAGGATGTACTATGGGATATTTAATTTGTCCCCTTTTGATGAAGATTTAGACAGTTTCCCATCTTTGGAATTACAAAAAATGCTGCAATGACCAACCTCATGTGCAAGTTACTTTACGCTTACAGGGCTCACGCATAGGACAAGCTCCCGTAAGTGGAAGTGTTTTAGTATCTGCTAGACGGGTCTCTTTTAGTTACTCTTCTTTTTTAGATTTTTTCCTAGTTGTAATTACTCTATTCTATTATTATCATTACTTCACAGGAGCTATAGGCACAGCTTGTCTAGTTTCAAAAGACAATTTGTGATGGCTTTTTTCTTAAGCTATTTTAATTAACTTAGGGATAACTGACATGTTTATGACGCTGAGTTTCCTGTGCAAGAACATTACTCGCCGTTCTACTTTTCAAGCCCACTTTTGTGTCCCTCAGAAAGATTTTAAAGATTCCTTAATCTAGAGCATGCACATTTCTTTATGCAGATTTTTTATATATCTAGGTATTTTATCTATTTGTTGACATTCTAACTTGGTCCTTCTTGGCCATTATTTCTACTAACTGGTTATTGGCACTAACGCCACTATATGAAATCTACCAGTTTCTGCACACTAATTTAACACCCTACCACTACACTGAGTTATTTTACCGTGAGCATGTTTTCATGATACTCTTGGGTTTTCCAGGTATGTTATCACATTATTTACAAGAGACGATAATTTTGCCTCCTCCTTTCAAAACCCTGTGTTGCTAATTTTATTCTCTTATTAATTGCTTTGGCTAGCATCTCTAGAAAAATGTAAAATAAGCATAGTATACTAGAAAGTCTTTTATATAGTTCCTGACTTTAATAAAAACACTCCTAGAATTTCTCTAGTAAGCATTATGATGGTTTTTTGGTGTGAAATAGATATATTTTATAATGTTAAGGAAGTACCAATCTATTTCTATTTTATTAAATTTATTTTTAGTCCAGAATGGATGATGAATTTCATTAAATGCCTTTTTAGCATTTATAGATATATCACATTATTTTTTCCCTTAAATCTATTAATAAGATAAATTATAGAAAACAATTTTCTGATGTTAGTTATTTTTGCATTCCTGGAATATATCCCATTGGATCTTGGGAAATTAATTTTTTAATGTGCTGCTGGATTTGGTTTATTAATATTTTATTTAAAATTTTTGCATCAGTATTAGAGGGATTGATCTTTATGTCTGTCAGGTTACATATCAATTTTATGATAATTTCATAAAAAGATTTTGGAAGAGATTATCTACAATCTTACTAATTTTTTTTACTTTAGTGCGCATGCCCCAAAAGAAGTAAATTAAAATTTCCTGCAACTAATGTGTCTTATCTGTTTTTCCTGGTATCTCCTGGAGTTTTTGTTTTTTGAATATTGTTGCTACGTAATTTGATACCTAGATATTCTGGAGCTTTATAACTTGTGAACAGAATCTTTTATCATAAAAAGTGCCTTTCTTTGTCTCATTAAATGCTTTATGGCATGAAGTTTTCCTTGTCTGATATAAAGATCATGATCCCTGGTTCTTTGGTTTGCATTTATCGCATTTGTCTAGAATCATCTGCCCATTTTATTCTTATTTTTAAAATTCCTTTTACAGCCTATGTTACATCAAATGAATGGCTGTTAAGCTTGTTTATATAACTTTGTATAAAACAACTTAGTAGTCATTATTCAATGCTTTTTTTTTATTGAGTTCATAATAGTTTACACCAATGTGAGATTTCAGTTGTACATTATTTCTTGACTGTGCTCCCCTTCACCCCCTGTGCCCACCCTCCGCCCCCTTCCCCTGGTAACCACTGAAATGTTTTCTTTGTCCATGTCTTTGTTCATATTCCACATATGAGTGAAATCATCTGGTGTTTGTCTTTCTCAGCATGGCTTATTTCACTTAGCATAATTCCCTCAAGGTCCTTCCATGTTGTTGCAAATAGGATGAATTTGTCTTTTTTATGGCTGAGTAGTATTCCATTGTATATGGACACCACATCTTCTTTATCCAATCATCAGTCAATGGGCAGTTGGATTGTTTCCAAGTCTTGGCTATTGTGAATAGAGCTACAATGAACATAGGGGTGCATGTGTTACTTTCGATTGTTGATTTTAAGTTGTTTCAGTAGATACCCAGTAGTGGGATAGCTGGGTCATACGGTAGTTCTATTTTTAGTTTTTTGAGGAATCTCCATACTGTTTTCCACAGTGGCTGCACCAGTGTGCATTCCCTCCAGCAGTTTATGAGGGTTCTCTTTTCTCCATACCCTCTCCAATATTTATTTTTAGCCAGTGATGATAGCCATTTTAAGCCCTCATAAGGTGGTATCTTAGCGTAG